AGTATTTTTCGCCAAGATAATAGATATAAAATTTTCGCTGAAAGTGAAGAAGTATAATTTGTTATACAAAATTTTCTTAGGCTTTAATACTATTTTATTTTTCAGAAAAAGGGTTAAATTTCTTGAAAAACAGAAATTTCAAGTATTTCAATTGAAATACAGAACTCCAAAATTTAAAGATGCTCAAAATGAAGACAAATTCAAGCGTCATAATTTGAAGATGTCAAGATTATCAAGGATACCCAACTATATTTGTATTTAATTTTGTTTGTTATTTTTGAAAAATGGTGAATTTAATTTAATTTAACTCAATATTGAAAAATCTTGTATGCGTGAACAATTAGATAAGGGATCGTTCAAGTATTACGTAAGCAGATTTATTACAATTATTTGAAGTGAGCTCTAAAACTTTAGCCGGAATTAAAATTAAAATCTGAAATATTTTTGATATATACAAAAAAAAAATTTTTTTTTAAATAAGCAGAAAACAGAAAATAAGCAGAAAGTTTTTTGAATCTTCCAAATCGGATGCAGTTCTCTCAAAATATGTCATTTTTTGTACATTTAGATCTGTATCTTCGAAATGGCTGGACCTGCCTTTGCCAAAAACTAATCTGCACATCTCCCTATCAATAGGAATCGAATGTTTATGGAACCATTCAAATCGGTTGATCCGTGCGCCCGAAAACGTAATCAAAAAAATGCGGACATACAAAACACACACACACGTCCATTTATTGTAGGTATGCCAAAATGCTCAGGAACGTGAAAATATGCAAAAATTCATTTTTGATTTTTGGCCCATTACTATAACTCACCCACGGGAAGTTAATAAATATAATTGAAATTTTGGCAGAATAGTCCTTAAAAAAAATCTAAAAAAATAATTAATTTTTTTAAAAAAAGCATTTCTTTATTTATTTACCTTCGACAGTAAATAAATAAAGAGATGGGTTTAAAAAAAAACGTTTTCGTTTTTAATTACTTTTTGGATTCTTTGTTCGAAGCTCTACAAAATATTTACAAATCCAAGACTCTACGATCGAAACGGTTGACCGATTTTTAAGAAATTATATAACAACATTTAGTATGTTGTGAGTACCACTTGGTGTTAAGGGTTGGCCACCCCTGAGATTTTTTTTCATTCTTTAGATCAATATTTGTTATTTTTTATAATTCGCAATCAAAAACACAACTAAATCTCTAAATTTTCACCCTCCTACCCCTATTTTGTAATATTTATTTTAGTAATCGAATAGTTTTTGATCCTGCATCAATCAAAGAATTTTTTTCACGTAATTTTAAATCAGATTTTCTTGAGCTTATAGAAAACCTCAATTTTTCTTAAAAAAAAAACTATTCTTTTTATCGAGAGTCATCAATGAGTTAGTTTTTTTATACTAACATTTTCTAGAATTCTTTTTCATGGTTAAACAAATTTAGTGCTAGTTTTTATGTAAAATTTAGTGGAGGGAAATACGATCATAACATTTAATACAATTTACAAGATATATAAGATATAGATTAATTTTAATAATCTTTACATAAGATTATTAAATTACTAAATAACAACTATATATGCTTACAAATCCGCCAGATTTAACTCGATCGTGCCTCGACATTTTGACAATTTTAATATGTGAATTTCTCTCTGCTGCAACATTGAACTGCAAAAAAAACAAATATATTATAACACATGTGATGAATTAGTATAGACAAAATATTGAATAAAACTAGTTGTGTATGGCATCATGCCTCAAGGCAAATTGCTGGAACTTACTGCACTATAATGAAATATTCGAAGAATATTAATTAATTATTTCAAATTATTACCAATACTGTAACTTTTATAATTCGCATTTTATGTACAAAATATAAGAGCTTGACGATGATGATTATATGTCTACATAAAAAGTGAATAAACAAAACTCAATGAAGCCGATTTAGAATGAAGGATCTTATCTCATATTTCCAATACAAGGGATATTAAGTTTATTCAAATAGATTGTTATAAATAATGTAACTTTCATTATTCTTATTTTATAAAAAGTAAATAAACAGAACTTAATCAATCGGATTTAAAATGAAGAACATTGTCTAATATTTCTAAGTATTATATAAACTGAATTGCAAAGTTAAAATTATTTATTTATAGCATATAAGTGATATTTTGAACTTTTGGTATAATTAGAATTAAAATCCGAATTATTTTCGATATCAAAAAAAAAATTTTTTGAAAATTAAAAAAAAATGAATTAAAAAAAATTACACAAATGCCTTTGCCAAAAAAAATCTCAAAAGCAATCGTTTCATCAACACAAGCACAAAGTTTTTTTTAGTCATTCAAATCAGATGTATAGTTCTCTCAAAAATTGCCATTTTTACACATTTAGCTCTATATCTCCGAAACGGCTAGACCTGCGTGTGCCAAAATCTAATCACTACTACTCCCCATCATTACAAATCGAATGTTTTTTGAATCATTAAAATCGGTTGATCCGTTCTCTTAAAAACTGACATTTTTAGCACTTTTAGATCCATATCTCCGAAGCCGCTGAACCTGTCTTCGTCAAAAACTAATCAGCACGTCTCCTCATCAATAGGAATCGAATGTTTTTTGAGCCATTCAAAGCGGTTGATCCGTGCGCCCGAAATCGTCGACGAAAAACTGTCTCCACACACACCCACATCCATTTTTTCTGAGGTATGCCAAAATGTTCAGAAACCTCTAAAACGCGAAGATATATAAAAAACTTCATTTTCGATTGTTTTGCGATTATTATAACTTACCCCACGGGAAGTTAAATACTCAAAACGCTATAAAATAAAATTGATACATTTGTTAAAATAGGATGAATGATAATTTTATATAAGACTGGAACATATATTAATTCCCGTAGGATAATCGCAAAAAAATCGAAAATGAAAATTTTTATATATCTTAACGTTTCAAAGGTTTCTGAATATTTTGGCATTCGAAAAAATGGATATATGTGTGTGTGTGTGGGTGTGCGCATACAAATTTTCGTTGGCGATTTCGGGAACACCGATCAACCGATTTGAATGATTCAAAAAACATTCGATTCGTATTTATAAGGAAACGAGCATATTAATTTTTGGCGAAGGCAGGTCTGGCCGTTCCGAATATACGGGGCAAAAAGTGCCAAAAACGGTAACTCAGTTTTTAAGATAACGGAGCATCCGATTTGAATAATTCAGAAAACATTTTACTTGTATTGACAAGATGAAGGACCGATTAAATTTTTGGGAAGGCAGGTCCAGCGGTTATAGACTCTCAATAAAAATAATTTAAAAAAATGTCATTTGGCGCTCAAAAATATTTATTAGACATATGTAGATCAAATTAACAGATATTTTATGGAGATTTTAATAATGTGTACACAATTTGTGTATTTCTTTTTAGGTTCCGTACCAAGATTTTTTATTACGGTACGGGAAGTTCCAGCAATTTGACTTCTATTAATCGTATTATTTATTGTCATTATAAATTATTCTGAAACTTTATCGAATTTAAAAAAATCATATAATAATATAGTGCTTAAATTAGCATTATTTTAGAAACATATAGCAAAATTCAATGTATTTTAATTAATGTAAGTAATATATTCAATATACAAAGTCTATGTTACAGACCTACATTAGAATTAAAATTGTTACTAGTAAATTTCCTAACACAAAATAAACTGAAACTTGTACATCTGGTTAAGTAAATTGCTCCATAATCAATTATAAATCAAACTACATACATGTAATTCATTTAATTTGTCACAGAAACAAATTAAAATGTATTTAATGTGAAAATTAGAAAACATAACCTTCAAAAATATAGACAACAAATCTTACCTTTGGACTGAATAAAGTTGTAACGGTTCACATACTTTGCACTCACACACAATATTTTAACTTAAAAACGAAATCGTTTTGAGCACATTATTTATATCGTAAAAACACTGTAAATGCACAGAAATAATTCGCAAACAAATAATAAACGAATTTCTTAGCGTCAACTACCACCTGTGGAATGTTTATAGGCGCCATTTTTCTTAAGACTTCAAATTTTGCATATACTCCAGGCGTATTATCTTAAATTTGCTATGAATGAGAAGTTTATGTTTTCATCAAAAAATCCGATTCGCTAATTTTATGTTTTCTCCACGTTTCAACCCATTCTGAATCAAATTTGGAAAAAGTATGTGTGTGTGTGCATATGTCATCATTTTTTCAAAAACGGCTGGGTCAATTTTAAAAATTTAAAAGTCATTTGATGTATCTCGATGAGGATTATCATGCCTGTAATTAGTTCCAGTATCATGGCTTTTTGTTAAGTTTATTTAATATTAATAAATTTACTATTTATTAATTGTATTATTGTTTTCCCTGTCCATTCGTGATATTGGAAAATTGAGATAGAGTTTGGTTGAACAACTCTTATGCTCAAACTGTTGCAACTTCATGGGATGATTTTCAGCCACAATCTTTTAGAGCTCGTTATTAAGAAATTATTGGGTAATATTATGATATTATGATATTACCCTTTGATGAAAATGAACCCTTTATCAACTCCTTTTGTTTAAACACAGTGCATCCTCCTCATCCTCACATTTTTTTATAATTTCTTGATTTAATTCAAGGTACATAGCCCTTTTCTCTGTATCCACAGTTGTAATGTTTTGTAAATGTATAAAATAGCAACTATTATTGTATTGTTAAAATTTTGAATCACATGAATAATTGTGAATGCAATGAAAATTTTTAGTAGATTAAATTTTTGTTCTTACAATGACTATAATTTATTATACATAAAAAATAATCGTTCTCTTCAAGCATTTACAAGTAGTGCTTATGTACACTTAATATGACATAATTAAGAGAATTTCCAATAAAACCAATATATAAAAATCATGAAAGCTTTTAATTAAAACTTACATTCACACTTCGAATTATTTTACTTACAACAATTAAAAAAATACTATGCCTTTACATGCAATTTTGCAGACAAAATTTACCTTATTAATGTTACTTATTCATATCATAGTCTAAAAAAAACTTTTTGGTATCACAATTGGGTTTAATTTATGTTTCCAACTGTTCTGTTGCAACAAATATCAAAAATAAGAAACCTAATCTGCTAAATCACATTGTCCAAAATATCTTGCAATGATACATATTGGAACTGCTAAATAAGAAACATCATCAAAGGTACAATTTTCCCATGTGTTTCTCACATTCGCTAAAGCCACAGCTAGTTTTCGGAGAACATCATGCATTTCAGGTTCAAGAGGAGTCATAATGCATAAAAGTCCTGCATAAATCCAATAGCAAAGCCATTCTTTGATATTATTTCTATCAACCTTGCTCATTAACCAATCAGAAACTACATTGTTAGCTTTTTCAGATGGTTTAAGATTGATTGTGTTTAATATGCTTATCTGGAATATCAAATTTTATTATTATTAAAATACATAAATATATAATATATAATAAAACATGCAGATCAAATATATAATATACAATGAATTTATAAATAAATAATAAATAAAACAAACTGATTTTTCAAATCAGACTTATTTCATACCAAATAAGCAATTAAACAATCAAAACATATTATTGCTTTGATTGTAATGTAAGAAAGATATAAATTTAACCACTAGATATATTCATTTTTAGAAGATTGAGAGTAACATGAAATTAAGTTACCTGAAAATCAATAAATTCCCACCATTGAGCTTGAGTGATAACTAATACAACACTAAGAAGTGGCTTAACTGTTGTGAAGAAATTTTCAGCTTCCTCAATTGATTGCACAGACTTTTCCAGCAATTTTTCTAAATGTCCAGCACTTTCAATTTCGTCTGCATCATCATCTAGTAGAATTTGAATTTGGTGTCGTAACTTTGCAAAACGTGATACTTGATACTCCTGCCATTCTTTTGTGGATCGTAAATGAGGAGGGCATAAAGGTTTTTCAACAACCTGTAAATAAAACATAACTTGAATGATACAACTATTGAAAATATAAGATTTTATAAATTGGACAACGATGTCTATGTATGTTTGCAGAAAAGTAAAGGAACAAAATTTAATCGGATTTAAAATGAAGCACATTTTCTAATATTCATAAGAATTATATTGTAAAGTTAAATTTATTTATTTGTAGTATGTAAGTGAGCTTTAACATATTAGTTGGAATTAAAACTGAAATAAAAAATAAGAAATTGTCTTTCTAAAAAATGTATCGTTTTTTCACACTGTCAACACAAGCAAAACCCGTTTTGAATCATTCAAATCAGATGCTTCGTTCCCTTAAAACCTGCCACTTTTTGCACCTTTAGCTCCATATTTCAGAAACATATGGACCTGTCTTTGTCAAAAACTAATGACCACATCTCACCAAAAACCTAATTTTCATTTTCTGCACACTTTGTTTCGAATCTTGGAAACTTCCCAAGAACTAATCAGCACGTCTTCCTATGAATAAGAATTGATTGCATTTTGAACCATTTAAATCGGTTGATCCGTATGTCCCAAATCGTTGACAAAAAATTGTATCCAAACATACACACACACACACACACACACATCAATTTTTGCTAGGGTGTGTCAAAATGTTGAGAAACCTCTGAAAAGTAAAGATATGCAAAAAATTTCGATTTTTGGTCGATTATGAAAACTTACACAAAGGGAAGTTAATTTTATTAATATTACATACATTAATTATGCAGGGAACTTGTTCCTTTACTTTACTTGTATCCAGAGGGACTGATACCACCTCCGGGCACCGCTCTCGCTCATAAATAACTTTCTGCAAGTATTGTTCAGCTGTCATTGGAACATCTTCTGGATTATACGCCGGATCTATTCTCACTTCGAATACTGGATTTAGTGACATATTCATGATGGCACAATTATTTTAGACAAATAAACGAGATCACAAAGCAGCTTCTACTCGTTCCGCCAATCTACATAACCTCAAAACTTCATATCACAATCGCAATCATAACAACTCTACCTGAGGGAACCTAAACGACAGCATTTGTGAATAACAGATATTCAAACTGACACTGTATATTTTTTATTTTTTCGATTATTTTTACAATAACAACTGTGTATTGATTGATACGTTGTTATTGTTAATAAATAATTATTATTATTACTATAAATAATGTATATTCTTGTATATCATAATAAATTTTATATTCACATATTTAAGTATAAAGCTATTACCATAGTTAAGAATGAGAAGAGCTATTAAGTTTAAGAATTATTAAAAATAATGAAAAACGTAATCATTTAGTATCTCACAACCAAGCAAATCATTAATGTTTATTAACCGTAGTTAATTCATTTAAACTGGATAACCATTTTAAAATTATTATCCGTAGCCAATATAAAAATGTAAAATTATTTTTATAATGTTGCCACATGTGGTTGGCTGTCAACCTGTCAACTATTATTTCAAGCTGTTCTTAACGAACATTTTAATAACAATAGCTTTATATATTTTTTCTATTAAATGGTATTGTAGTTTTAATGTAAAGCATTTATATTTATATATATTGATTGTGTATAATTAATATAAACTGTGTTATCAATGTGAAGCTATAGTACCACTATAGAACTATCTCAAATCATTTTAACCACAAAATGAGCACTAGCTCTGATTCCACTAAGGAAAATAAAGAAAACATTAATTATGTCGAGTACCAAGAACGTTTACAACGCGTTTGTAATAAAAGCACGAATTCATTAAGAAGTTTAAATAATATTAAAGATTCAATGTGTCAGAAAAAACACAGGTTAATGAAAATATTGCAGGATAAAAAGAAAATGGATGATTGTTTAGGCATACCATCAAGTGCACATGATGATTTAGTGAAAATCAAAGACAACGCAATATACCTGATAAACAATTTAGATGAATTTTACAAGTTAATGACCACAGAATCGAACATCGATATTGAAGGTTTATCCAAGCATATACAAAACCAAACCACAAAAAATAGTAAATTATTAGCGGCTTCTTTCCAAGAATTCAACAATGCTACAAGTTTGATTTCTATGAATCAAGTACTAAAAGACCAATTAGTGAAATTAATACATGATCCCAATGAATGTGATACATCAGTTTATAATAATTCATTTTAATTGTAATTAGTAATAATTATTTATACAAATGAAACCATATTAAAATAAAAGAATATTATTCTATATTTAAACGAAATAATTCATAACATTTGTTTTAGCAATCTGTTACAATGTCAAAACAGAAAATTAAAATAGCTCTCTGCAATAAATTCTTAAAATACATAGTTCTTATATAATAAAAAATAATACTGCAATTTAATAAAGTATTATACTTCATATTCCCGCAGTTTAAATCTCATTCGGTTAATTCATTTTGTGGAAGATTATAAATAACAGCCTGTATTTACTACATGTACACTATGTCGCCATTTATTTCACATTCTATTACTTTATCAGTCTGGGGTGCATGGCTATGCATTGCTACTTTTCTTACTATCACGTTGCCTCTGTTGAATAAAATACATAATTATTACTGAGGATAATGAATAAATTTATTCTAATGAGCTAGTGCAACTTTGTGCAAATTTTATATCTGTTCCTTAGTATTTAATATTGTATGTAGAAATAATTTAAATATTTTAAACATATGTAAAAATATATCATGTTTATGCAATTGTACCTTCTCCTTCAATATAGTAATTTTAAAGATGTAGTTTGTAGATTTCAGAAAATACTACAATACTGACTAACGGAAGAATTTCAATTATTGATCCAAATGTTAATATCCAGTTTTATAATAATTATATTAAAGGAGAATTAAGTTATTTTATGTATGAAATTTTAAATAATTTTAATTTATCAAACAAAATTTTAATTAAGTTATTTTAAACAAAATTTTAACCAATTATCAATATAAAACTATTACTGTAAGAATATTTTAAATAAATTTGAAAAAAATTATTTGTATTTTTATAATTATATATAATACTTTATAATATAGATTTGGTAAGTCGGCTAGGTAGTAAGGTGACCATATGTCCTGGTTCTACTGTAGCAGTCCCAATTTTTTATAAAAGCAATAATCCTGATGGATTAAACTGAAGTTTTGAAATATTCTACAGCTAGAATTATTTTTACAAATTCTGAATGATTTTGTGAGTCTTCAAAAAGGCAAACCATTACTTATTAAAGTCAATTAATCTATATCACTTAATAAACAATAATCTGAAAATCTGCAGTTCAGAAAAATTAACAAGAGCTTTGTATTTAGTAATTCTGATTATAGAGTATGATTTATTAAAAAAAAATGGTCACCTCTGTAAGTAGCTTTCTGATTAAAAACAAATGTTACTAGTTTTTAGTGAAAATAATATTGTAAACTTACACAGTGACACATCGACTTTTACATGCCATTCTACTGTACATCTGGCATCTCCAAAACACTCTTTCTTTATGAATTGCCTGTTTCATATATATGTGATCATTGACCACCAGACAAAAGTTGCCATTTTTATTTCTGATATATTTCAGACCTGAAAAAAAAATGATACTGGGTCAATTCAAAATTATTAGTTGGCAGGATGTAAACAATTACATTTTAAAATATATATACATACATTCACATGCAAGATTTATCTATATGTACATATTTATATAAAATTCTTGTCATGATGGTAATCCGTAACGGTGTGACTAATTTTTAAGAAATTTTATAATATCGTTGAGTATGGGACAAAATCTATTTTTTATACCCCTGAATGGTATGGGTTGGCCGCCCTTAAGATTTTTTGACCATTTTTTTACCATTTATATATAAGAAAAACATACAGGCCTAAATTTTCACTCTCTTACCACAAAGCCCTACTTCGTAATAGTCATTTTAGTAATCAAATAATTTTTCATTGCTCTTTCATTTAATGCATGTTTCGAACTAGTAAAATGCAAAAACCGCATCTTGATTGCATTATTGGTTTGTCTACAATTAAATCTCAAAAAACAGTATCAAAAACGAGGCCACAAAGTAAAGGACCTCCTTTTTTCCCCGATTTTCTAAAACTTAAGAAAAGCTTAAATTTTATTTTGAAAAAATATATTTTTATCAAAAGTTGTACACCCCTAACACTGTTTTTTAATTTTGTGACAAATTTTCTTCTTTATAATTTTTTATTGGGTTGGGGAAAGGATTTCTTTTTTTCCAACCTAATATATTGCAGAATTGAAAAATACAAACAACCTTAAATTTTTACCCTCCTACCCACCCCCAAATCCCTATTTCATAATAGTCATTTTTCATCTAGCTCGATAACTGATCACATATCTCTCTTTTCTGTGAACAATATTCAATTTTTTTTTAAAAAATTATTTATGAAGGGTATAATCATCATCTTTTTTGTAAATGGATCTCGGTTTTTCCAATTAAACAAACTTATTCTACGACTTTAATTTATATTTAATAAAGTATTAAAACAGTTTATTCCAGTTATATTTAGTGTTACTAGTAGATGTTTAAATTCCGCTAATGATGTATAAATATTGCAGAAAGTGCAATTTTAGCAAAAAAAAATACAAAGTTGAATATTAAAAGCTGAAGACAAAACAGTTTTTGAGGGAAAACTACGTACCTTACAAACCTATGGCAAAGCTAAATTTTTCCACTGAAAAGCTTCGTAATAATATATTAAAACAGTGAATCTATAAATGCGCTTATTCATTTTAAATGAAATTAGTTTTAGATTATTAATATGCCCCACGAACATTTATATGTGGCATGCTTTGCAGTGGGTAAACTATCCATATTATTAGTTTTACCTACTACTACATACTTCCACACTCAGAGTTAATTATAAAAACTAAAAATTTTGTAGAAATTCTTTTATGACTACACAATAAATATAATATATTAGGGTGGTCCTTAATATGGACATTTTCAAATGGTTCCAAATTGATAAAAAACAATTCTCTGAAAGTTTTAGCTCTTAATATTGTCTTTTAGATAGTGCGCTTTGATGCAAATCAAAGTTTTGTATAGAAATAACATGGAAAATTTTTCAAAATTTTTAAAAATGTTTTTTAGATATAATTAAGCTAACAAATGAATGAGTTTTATTTAAAATTTGACGCTCTACAAATCAAATTATAAAAAACCTGTTTTGCAGAGCGTCAAATTTTCAATAAAAAATTACACAAATTTTCACTTTTAATTCATTTGCCGATAAGTTATACCTAAAAAATTTTTTTTCAATTTTCAAAATTTTTCCATGCTATTTCCAAACAAAGTTTGAATGAACTGCACACTATCTAAAAGTTAATATTAAGAGCTAAAACTTTCAGGGCATTGTTTTTTATCAATTTGGAACCATTTGAGCCCTTGGGAGCAAGGAAATTCAAAAATGTCCATATTAAGAACCACCCTAATATATATATATATATATATATATATATATATATATATATATATATATATATTATATCATATGTTATATTACTTGAGGCTCCTGTAGGATTTAAAGCTGCTATATTACTTTTGTCATCCTCTTCAAGTTTTATATCACTTAAGTTGATATCATTAATTTCAGGATCATCAAAACCTTCTGAAGCTTCTAAGCTTAAATGATCTGTATCATCTTGATGAGAATTTGTATCATTTACATCATATAAACCTTTCTTTTGTATTTCGCTATCAACATTAGAACCATTTATATCAACATACAATATAGGATTGACTTCAGGTTCATCATATTTTTTCTTTTTAGGTAAAATATCATCTGATTGATATCTAAAAGGAATTTTAGATACTCGTTTAGACCTCTTGCATTCGGTACTCTCTGAAGACACATCAGTATTTGTCTCAGTATTTGTAACATTCTAGAAAAAAGATAAGTAGTTATTAATATTATTGTCTGTAATTTGAAATATTATTTGATTCAGGAAATTTCAAATGGTTTTGTAAAACCCAAATTATATATGAAGACTACTTAATAATAAGTAAATTGTGGATTACCATTAATAATACAATGTTCAATTTCACGTCACAAATAATGTTCATTTTTATACTAATTTCAGTAAGACTAACAATAAATAGATATTTATAAACAAAGCGAAACTTGGCAATTACATAAAAATTAATTATTATTTGACAATTAATATTTAAATATAATGAAAAGTTTATTCGATGATTTACATGTTTAAATTTACATTCAAACATTGAACACACATTTAAATGTATTTTAAAACATTGAACAGACAAAGAAAACAAGACATTTAGAAGGCATTTAACGATAAAAACATTTTAAAAACACAAATCATAACAATGATGAAAAAGAACTTATAATAAAACTTTTATATATATTCATTAAAAAAATAATTGAAGAAGTAATTTTAAAGTGAAATGAGTTGATGAGATAGGGGCTACATGCAACAGGAGTTTATCACTAGAATCTTAAACAATGTTAAAATATTTTTTTGTCTCGATTGGACATGTGAACAGTCCTGCATTACATTATCAAAGCTACTGCCCCGCAGGCCAACACAATATACAAAACTGTGCAGGTCCATCATTTTTGACATGTAATATAAAATTGAACTATCATAAAATTTCGGTTTGCGGTATTATTATCCATTAACTTTAAATTTTATATATCTTAGTTCATTTCAAATTCTTCAATCTTGGACATCATGTAACAATCTTTGTGATTGCTAAATTGTTAGTTATATTATAATAAAAATAATCATACCTGGGGTTAATTGAAACATAACATGGGGCTAATTGTAACATACAAGAATAGTCCAGTCATCATAGTAAGTTCACCTTGGAATTCGAGATACCCAGCTGTAAGTCTGTAAATACTTGTATATTGACACCTAAAAGTTGTCTCAAAACCTATATATGTTATTGACACCCTATCATATGTAGGTTTGAGACAACTTTAGGGTGTTAAGTATTTACAGACTTACAGCTGGGTATCTCGAATTCCGAGATTCTTACCTAATTTAAGCTTAAATGACTGGACTAAATTGTATACAGATTCAAGTGAGTTTGTAAAATGGGGCACATATAAATTGTGATATATGAGACACTAAATCTTTTATTTGTATTAATTGTAGTTTACTTGGATTTATAAGAATGTATATGACAAAAGTCACCATATTTTTATGTGAATTAATAAGTGATTATGAAATGATATAAAAGATTATGGTTATGAAAAGAATTACTTAGCAACATGTCAATTTTCTTGAAAATAAGTACAGAATAAATTATCAGAGGTATTATTGTCGTTACAACTTGCCCCAGTAGATATTACAACTAGCTCCTAACAAGGGGTAAGTTGTAAAAGCGCAATGTTTCTATATAATGATTAATTGTGAAATAACGAACAGTTGTCATAGAATTACTTTTTCTTAATTAGGTAGAAGAATAGTCAAAGCATCTATTTAGCTTTATTTTATAGAAATATGATCAGTGGATCACAAGATATATTCATTATAAAAAAAAGTTACAACAAACCTCTAGCTCCCCTATATGAATTATTATTACACGACAAGAAAAAAATCCTTAATAGAAAATCATAAATTACACAAAATGTTATTAGTCCAGTCATTATAGTAAGTTCACCTCAGAATTTGAGATACCCAGCTGTAAGCCTGTAAATACCCTAAAAGTTGTCTCAAAACCTACATATGGTAAAGTGTACGTACCATATGTAGGTTTTAAGACAACTTTTAGGGTGCTATTTTAGGGTATTTACAGACTTACAGCTGGGTATCTCGAATCCCGAGATTCTTACCTAATTTAAGGGGTTTTTTATTTTTATTTTTTTGCATTTTCATTAAGTGTAATATCTTGAAAATGTTCTCTGAAAATTTCAAGTTGATCCGATGATTACTTTTCGAGTTATTGGACTCTTACCAGCGCGTTGACGCAAGTGGAGAACTCGATACTTATACTCAAGATTATTCTCCCTCACATCCTGATGTTTTAAAAGCTTTTAAACCGATTTACGACGATCTCAGCAATGATAATTTACTTTCAAGATGTGTAGTTCAAGATTGAATCCATAATCAGAAAAAACTAAAAGCTTCAACCAACTAGTGTAAAAAAATGCCTAAAAACCGTGAATACTAGTTCTACTATCATACAAATTGCTGAATACATATACATAATCATTATTATTGATTATGGATACCCTAGGACCTAATTGTGAGTATAATTACCATTGATATGTTGAAAAATTGGATGCTGCACGTGTGAAAGTGGTAGATCAGCACGCCAACGAGAATACTCGGGGGAACAGCAAATGGGAATTTTGGAAACTTGCAGAAATAGATGACTTGGTTTAAGTAATTCAATCATTCGAATTTCTGTACGTAAATCCAATGTGAAACTTTAAACGCGTTTTTCTCAAAACTACGTTTTCTGAACCGGTGACCACTGTAACTCAAACACCGCTTAGTAAATTTTAATGAAATTTATACAGCTTTTAGAATACATAATAAACTCGGGCCTGAACAAAGCCAACTAACTATTCATTTTTTACCCAAAAATCTAGATTTTTTTTCTGATGCTGCTATTTTGTTATTTTTTGCAAAAAAAAGAAAACCTTCGATCAGGCCCAGGATTATCTATTTATAAAACTATTTTTTTTATTTTATTGATTTTAGATGAATATCTAAGGAGTTATGATGGTCACCGCCAGGACCGTTTTTTGAAACAGGGTCAACAAAAACAGCTATAACTTTGGGAATATTTATTATTTTTTTCTTTAATTTTTGTTACTTCAAGTCAAAACATTGTATAATAATGCCGTATTAATATTTTTGTAAAAAAACATCGTCTAATAACAAAAAAAAAATACTGAAAACTCTCATTTTTTCGTGCCTCCAAGTACCCCTAACCCCTTAAGCTTAAATGACTGGACTATATTGAATAATAGATAATTTCTGAACATAAGATTTCAATGGTGAAAAAGAGTATTAATCTATTAATAAAATTACCTTTGGTATAAGTGCTTTTATATTCAGAATTTCAGCTCCTTTTAATACTTCCTCTAACAGATTTTCTGGCACTGTCACTTCTCCTGTATACATAAATTCAACTAAAATTTTCAAAACGCGAAAGCTCACATTCTAAAAGTAAAAGTAGTTTGAAGATATGTAATATATACAATATTGTTCTGGTGACTTCTCTGCTTTTAATTACTTACACCCACAAAAACAATTGTATTTTGATTCTGTGATGAATTGTCCGAAAATAAGTCTTTAAAATGTTGGCTAGATAATGCTAGAATTAGCTTGTGTGCTGTAATTTTCTGTCCTTCAGAAGTCAATGTAACATCCTGAAAATGAATAAAAAGTTATTGCAAATACTTGAGACTGGGTGTAACCCTTTTAAATTACATGTAAAAGTCCTGTTTTGAAAATTTCGCAAAATCCTGATTCGATGTCTTTAGAATAGTCATCCCAGATCAAATTCTTTGTAGAGGACATTTTATTACAACTATCTATAATGCCGGTAAAGAAATTTTTTGATAGTACGACTAATACATATATATTTAGTAGCAACAAATAATCTAATGTGTTATGTACATTTAAATTTTATGTACATATTAAACAACTAGATGCTATAAGCTTTAAAATATTATCATGCGGTGACAATCAATAACAAACAAGTAAAGTAACATCGAGCCGAAAATAAGTATCATCACCTGGTGGCGAAAGCATAAAGTTGAGACGCGCTAATTTACAAAATCTGAATTGATTTTGAATTGTTTTGAAATGAACAGAAAACCAAGTGGGGTGCATGGCATCGTGCCTTAAGGCAAATTGCTGGACTTCCCGTATCGTAATTAAAAATCTTGGTACGGAGCCCAAAAAAAAATTACACAAAATGTGTACACATTATGAAAATCTATAAAATATCTGATAACTTGATGTACATATGTCCAATAAACATTTTTGGCCCCTAAATGACATTTTTTTAACTTATTTTTATTGAGAGTCCATAACCGCTTTACCTGCCTTCTAAAAATTTTACTCAGTTCTTCATCTTGTTAATACAAGTAAAATGTTTTTTGATTATTATTAAAATCGGACGCTCCGTTATCTTAAAAACTAAGTTACCGTTTTTGGCACTTTTTGCCCCGTGTCCTCGGAACGGCTAGACCTGCCTTTGCCAAAAACTAATCAGCACGTCTCCTTATCAATACGAATCGAATGTTTTTTGAATTATTCAAATCGGTTGATCGTTGTTCCGCAAATCGTCGACGAAAATTTGTACTCGCACACACACACACACACATTATGACATTCTAGATACTCCCCCCACGAAGTAATGCCTAACGGCGGTTTTGGTCGGTGTTACACCAGAGCGGTATTGAGTCCGACATACCCAGACAAATCACCAGTCTGGGATGCGTAAAAGCTTTTCCTTCGGTATACAAAAAAAAACACACACACATTAATTTTTTCTAAGGTATGCCAAAATGTTCAGAAACCTCTAAAACGTAAAGATATATAAAAATTAAATTAAATTAAGTATTAAAGTTTTGAAACCGAAAATTTTTTTGTGCTACATTTGTATTCAAGAATATCTAACGCAAATTAGAAAAAATTCAAGTCATCGGATGCTTTTGTTTGCAATAGATGTAAGGTTATACTGTAACACACGTGTCATTAGCTGAAACTACATTAAGTTTTAGATATATGAAATATTTTAAAACACATTTTTAATAGTTTTTATGTAACTTTAATGCTCAAAAGCTATTCAGGTAATATAAAGCATTTTCTAATAGTGATGTATTACTACTTTTTATTACGTACATTATAAACAAACATTAAATATATTATACATATACCAACTTACTTATAATATTTTGAAATTCTAAGCTAACACCAACTAGATTGTGCATTATGCACAAACAACCATTTATAATATTGATAACAATTTTCATTAAGCATGGTATAACCGGGAGAAAATTATTTAAAAATATATAAATATTTGTTCACAATTATGAGTATAATAAAATATAAAGATAAACAACTTATGTCGTAATAATAATAGAAATATAATAAAATTAAACATAGTTTAAACTAGAACTAAATAAAAATATATCATGATTTGGGTCTACGATGCCATCAACAACATCAGATCACATATTTAGGAATAATAATTGATCACAGCAATAAAATCATTCATACTCACAAAAATATAAGAATTTTATTCCCTATGCAACACTTTGAGAATTAGTCTGATAATTAAAATATAAAATACAATTTTTTAGATAACATTAGCAAGGATTGTTCTGTGGAAGCAAATCTGTGCTGATAGTTCTGGATAGATTAGCACGCAAGGGTCTGATAGTTTTAAGTTTGGTTGTGCCATTATAAGTAAAACTGACATCACAATTACTCAAAGGATGGGATAAATTATTTATTTTGCTTTCGTTTTGTAAAATCTCAGTTTTATCTCCATGCTTTATATCCAGTGGAGTTTGTGGTGTGGAAATGCCACTATCACTATCTACTGATAACTTATCCTCAATTTTCAAATTAACATTAATATTTTTAGAAGATTTAATATCTTCATTCTCTTTTTGATAAGGTGAATTGCAAAATGATTTAGTTGAGTTATTATTATTATACAATTCAACAACCTCTTGATTTTCATCGACCGACCTTAATGGCAAATTCAATTCTAATCTTTTGTCACATAAATGAGAATTCATAGATTTTGATTTGACAAGAGGGCTGGATTTTTTAGTATAGGATATTTCTTTCTTTTGATTTTCCCGTTGTTCTATCTGTTGCATAATTCGTCTTATTTCTGGTGGAAAATCACAATCAGATTTCAATTCAACTTGAGTAGATATGAACTTGCTTAAAGTCAGTACTTTGTCTTCTAAAGATTTTATTTCATTTTCCACTCTCGATTGCCATATTTGTTGTTGGTTCTTCAAGGTATGTTCATTCATAATGGAAATCTGAAATGTAATTATATTTAGTAACTCTTAATTCAAAATTAAAATAATAACTACCTGATCCAGCAAATGTTTCACCATGTAATGGTGATGTATTTCTAGGATATTTTTAGAATAGCAAGAAAAAACTAACATATTGTAAGGAAGCATGCTATCAAGCAAGATGTAAAACGATTCAGCTATTCAATTGACTGTTACGGTAAAAATGTAAAAAATAGGTTTTTCTGTATTATCAACTCGGCATAATAAAATAATAAAATAAAAAAAATGATCCAAGTATAAAATATAAATGTTAGACATAAACAAAATTAAATTCTTTTTGTAAAACAAATTCAGCTTTGCTGAGAAGTATTTGCAATTGAAAAGTTATCAGATATTAATGAAAAGTTGATTGAATTACTGATATGACTATTACAAAATATTTGTTTGTAGTAGCATGATATTGTAAACAAATTAAGAGTGTCAGGGGTTTTGTTTAATAAATATAAAGTGTTTTTTAAAGTTAAATTTAAGGTTTCCATAAACTCAAGAAAACTGAAATTAAAATTCAGTGAAAAACATGCACTAACTTAGCACAACACAAAAGATGTTTCAATTAATAAAGTCGATCAATTAATAAATTATGAATTAGTGATAGGAAGGTAAAAATTTAGGGACGATCGTGTTTCTTAATTACGCATTATAATAAAATAAAACAAATTGGTCCAAATAATAATAACGATAATAAATCTTAGAGTGGGCAACCCTTATTTAGGTGTAGAAAAAATAAATGTTATCCAATTCACTATACAATTTCAAAAAAATCGGTCAAGTCATTTCAAAGGAGAATAATCACTATTATCATGACACAAGAATATATATATATATATATATATATATAGATAAAAAACTTAATTATTATTTATGAATTTCATACCTCTAATCGTGATTGCAAATGCCTGTTAGCCTCTTCTAATTTGCGAATTGTTTCTGTTTGTTTGCTGACACAGTGATTTTCTTCTTGTAAAACTTGATATTCTACTGAATACTCTAATAATTGTTGTGAAATATTCATATTCAGCACCTAAGAAAAGAGATATAAATTTAAGAATGGTAAATATGATAATTATTAATTTAATGTGTTTGTTTTACATATATAAATAAAATTTTTTACTAATACAATTTCAATAAAGTACAATATATTGACAAACATATTAACAAACCTCTAGCATTATCTTATCCATAGCGGCAGCATCTAGATCTGGTAAATTATTCTTCAAACAACCCATTATTTCTTCAAATGTTTCACAATTTAATAACTGATCAGCATTTATTTTTAGAAGAGCAATTGCAAACTTGAAAATAACTTCTGAAGACTCCAAAAACAGCAAATCTAATTATGACATTCATATTACTTTATTTAATTCATAAAAACTATTTTGTTCTTTAAATTTTAATTACCAAAAACTCTAGTGACAAAGCCCAAAGGAAACTGTGAGCTGAATACAGTCAAAATCCAAGGAGCGGCATATAGAGTTGGTGCAATATCAAATTCATTAAATTTATCATGAATTTGAGGAAGACAATCCTTCAGAAGTCTAGAGAGTTGGTAAAGTTGAAGCTGAAGATTTGACATCGTAGGTAAATACTTTTCTCGCATGTTTCTGGCCAACATTAAATGCCGCAATAAGAAAAAAGCTTCTGACTCCTCCATCTAATGAACAGCAGATTCATATTCAATTTAAAATCAATATTTCATATATTACATATATTTTTTAAAAGCATTTTGAAACTTACATGCAACAAAAGAACACCAGCAATAAAACTCAAGCCTTGGCAATAACCAACATCAGGATCTAGTAATGAATAGGCTTTCAAAATGTTGAATAATGAAAGTTGGCCTGGACCAAGCGCTGAACTAAAATATGCATGACTTGGAAAAGTGCGCCCTGAAATTAAATGACGAGTAAATAATTATGTAATGTAGATACACCTTGAAAACATTACATTTTCTTGAAAACTATAATGATACTACACTATTAAAAGTCTATGGATTAATTATAGCTAATATTATCATAAATAATTCACCTAAATCTATAAGTATGGCATGTTGATGTGAGGTTAGCTGTTGTAACAAGTTCTGATAAGGCATATTACAATTTGGGAACTTTTCAGTATCTATTTCACCAGATTTTTGAGCTTGCCTCTCAGCCAAGAAAGTCCAGACTTCTCGGCGTTTTGCTTTGGGAATACCTTAAAAAACAGATTGATTAGATCAATATACAAAAATATAACATGATAAATTGTATAAAATACCTTGTTTGCAATAAGATTTCAACATATCTTGATCAACTTTAGCCAGACTATGTATGGTTTGACGCTCCCAAAAATCTAACATTTCCTTTTCGCATGTTACTATTTCATTGTATTCCAGTTTAATTCGCTTAACGGCATGAACTTCTTGTCTTGCTGTAAGAGGTATGAATAACACAAATCAAAAGTTTTGTACACAAAGTTTATTTAAGATTGTTATTTTTTTATATCTCACCTCTAAGCCTGGCATTTTCTCTTTCCATTCTCACTAATAATAGGGTTTGATTAATTGCCTTCTGCCAAAGATCTCTTAGCTCTTCTTTTGTTTTCTTACGATATGGTTCATCATCTGTTAAAAAAATAAAATTATAGTATAATGAAAATAAAATTATAAAATCCATATACTAGAAACAGATGTCCAGAAGTTTTTTAAAATATTTTTTTCTATTACATAGCAACTTCTGTTAATATTTTTACCTTCTATATAGGAATTTGGATCAGTTTGATCTGCTAATCTCTTCCTCGGCGTAGTCACTTTATTGAAAATGTCCTGACGCCACGATTCTTCATTTTTTATTTCCGATTCTCGTGGTGTATTTCCGACTTTCATGAAACTGAATTGAAAAAGTATATAAAAATCAATTTAATTAAAACCGAGAAACGTTTAACAAATATTAACTAAAAATATTTTATACTAGCTACTTCAAATTTTGTGTATTGTCAGGTGAATCATTAAACTTACATGTCCATCATCGGTGATTGTAGTTGAACTGGCGAATTAAAATTTTTATTAGGCGTCAAACCATGTTCATCAATATATTTCGTAGAATTCTTATAATTAAATTTTGTAGCCGAATTTACGCCAAGCTTGTTAGATTTAGGAGTTTCAGAATTTTCGTCTATCTTTGTGGATGCTAACATATTCGCTTCCTAAAAGAGAATAAATTGAATACAAAACTATATAATACATAAGAATAACTTTAATAATCATTAATATTAAACTATTAGATTAAGTATTTAACTTTATTACTCAAGAAATCAAATGACAGTGATGCCAGCTTCCAATTGAAATTATATTCAAAATGAAATAAAACTTAACGATTTTGCAGTTTATGATTTTTTTAAATCTTTAATTAACTTACACTTTATTGCTGCAATCATATAAAACTTACTTTATTCAAACCAATTTGGTGCTATGGAATAAAATTGTGAGGCAGTGCTTATAAGACTAATATAGTAATAATACAGAAACTTCAGAACAAATTTTTGAAAATTGCCTTAGAAGGACCAAAATATATCCAGAACTGGCTAATTCATCTCGACACGAACACACCTACCATAAAAGACGTAATAACAAAAACAGCACATAAATATAGAAACAAGCTTATCAGTCACCCAAATTCACTAGCAAACTCATTAATAACAGAGAACTATCAATGTACGTTGAAAAGAAAAGCACCACTGGATTTAAGTCATCAATTTTCTTGATAAAGATTGAAATAACTTAAGTCATTATTTATGAGAAATTATTTATAAGTAAATAGTTAAGATTATATCATTATCAATAAAATATTGTTAATATATTGAGTTGTTTTTCCAACATGCCCATTTAGTATACAATGTCCCTTACGGCTGACAATTGTAAATTCCACAAATTTATTAAATGTTCTTAACTGGGCAGTTACAAATAGAATAGAGAATAATATATATATATATATATATATATATATATATAAAACTTACCCTGCTTAAGTTGAATTCCCGAATACTAGCAGCAAAGTCATCCTTAGAACCTTTTCTTTTCAACAAATGATCGAACGAATTGCTCAAAGAACGTTTAGCCTTCATAAATATAGTATTCCCACCAAGGTATTGATTTATGAACTCGGTCCTGTATTTATAAATAACATTTATAGAAATATAATTGATTTATATAATTAAGTAAAACAAATACAAACCTATTTTCTGCTGTATCGTGCGTGTGTTTATGTTGTTTTGTTTCGCAGTGCATTCTAACCAGAGCCATTAGAAAAACATTCTGCTCCTTGATACTTTGTTCATGAATATCGCCTGCACCATTAAATTTCTCAAGTAAAATAGACTGGTCTTCATTTGACCAATGTTGCTCAATCCTTCGGAATATTGTGCTTTGCGCCTTTTTATCAGAGAGCCCTGTAAGATAAAAGAGATTTAAGGAAATAAAAAAATAATAATAAAAATTTATATAGAGATTATCGAACTAATTTACCTTCCAACTCCAGACAAAGTTTATGGTACCATGTCATTGGGCAATGTTCACAACTATATATTTGGTTATTGAGCTTCTCTTTCGATTTGTATAAGTCTGCGCCAGCTATAAATGCTTGTGATATAGCTGAAAACGAAAAACACAACAAGAAATTTACTTAAATGTAAAAAATTGGGGAAAACTTTTAAGATTTTCGAGCTATTATAGTTTTACTTTATGAAAGGTAAGAGGGTAAATTGAATTAAATATGACCATCTGAACGCTTGGTTAAAAGCTTTTTATATTCAGTCTTTTAATTTGGAGTGGACAAGATTTGGGGTACCACAGCTATTGTATATATATTGATGTTTTGCAGAAATTATATGTATAATATGTATATGTGTAATATTACCTAAGACAACGTCATCTGTAACTGTTTCAGATTGGCATTTGAATATGTAACTGATGTAACAAGCATCAGGTCGCTCCCGACAGATAAATCCGAAATGATCAGTGTTCGTTATTCCCTAGAATACAAATTTATTATTACAAAATCAATACATAAATATAAATGCAACAGTACAACTAATAATAAGTTATAACAAAACTACCTGTACACATCCAGAAACATCCCTAAGTTGTTTGTGAAGCAAAATTTGTTTTCTATCTGGGCTGATCAGCCTGAGATCGGTTCTTCCAACCTGGAAAACCATGGTTCTATTTTGTTGATCACTTTGGTTATTGATATGACCTGATTTGGACAATTGGGATAAATGTCCAAGAGAAGGAGTTGTTATTGAACCAATTGAAGCGGATCGCGCGCGTTTTGTATAGTTATTAGATATAGGGCTGTAAAATTAATATAATTTTTCATAAACTGATCAAGTTAATCATAATCTAATTTTTATGATCTTGGTTTCTAACATACTCTTGTGCCAGCAAGCCCGAAGACTTCGTGACGATCAGATCTTGACTTTGTCCTCTTTGAAGAGTTCCTTTGATCCGTCCATTTTTCAGAGTAGCTCTGTCCTCATTTTTGAAAGTTTCCTTATCAGAAGAACATCCACCGCCACTATCAGAATTATTAGCCCTATCCGCTTCGTCGTCGGTAGAAGAAATAACTTGGGAGTGTGACACCAATTTAGAAGTGAGGAGATTAGATGCCTGAGTTGTTATACTCTCATTGGAACCAAGCGATAGGGTAGATGAATCCTGCAAATAGAAAACAATAATAAGAAAATAATACGAAACTCGAGATAAAATTAACCATTTCAATACATAAATTTTCTAAAAATCTTGTTTAATAAATAATGGTTATATATTTACCCGACTGCCTGCTCGCCTTAAAATATCATTACCATCTCCTGAAAGCTGTTTAAGTCTCGCCTTTTCTGCTTCATAGGCTCTAAATTTGGTGAGAGCTTCATCTATAAAATTATCAGGAACTCTCTTATGCGAAACTTTTATTTTACCTACGTACAATACCTGAAACAAATAAATAACAAGTATAAATAACAATTCCAACCCAAAAATTATACATAAAAATTACTAGTGAATAAAAAGTGGTGGATATAGCAAAGCACCATAATAATAGTTTGTTCGGAAAGTAATTAGTTATTTTCTGGTAAAATTTAATTGCATCAGATCTCATATTTTAGATATTCACAACAAGTTTTGGGCCAAAAAAGACCAATTGATTCGTCTATATAGTTGAAATTCGTCGTATTTTATTCTGTATGCTTGAATAAAAGGTAAAAATGCTAAGAAAATGGATTTTATCATGCTAGTGCCAGAGTCAAATTGCAAATTATTATCAATGCTTGAGGCAAACGCGATTATCAAAATATTAATGAGCAATCTACTGCTTTTAACCGTTTGAACTGTTATCCTCAGCTCACCTTAATATAGTATTATTTGCCTATTTAATGTCTTATTTTGGTTCTAATTTTCGGCAGTCGATTTTAAACTGCTTTTTTTATTTACAAATAAAATAGCAATCAGAATCTTATTATTATATAAGCTATTGAGTAGTACTTGAATTCAAAACCGAGTGGCTTGTTTAGGAAACTCTTCAATGAGAGTCCTTATTACTTATAGTAAATCAATAGGTTGTTTTTTCTTTAATCTTCTCCTGGTATTCGAAGGTTCATAGATGGACTACAGCATTTTCATGTTCATTAAGACGGTCAATGGGGTATGCATTTATTTTTTATTTCTTCTTGTACTGCGTCCATTTGAAGATCGTTGTGAATAATTTTGTTTGAGACGTACCAGGGCGCTTTGATTATTATCAATCTTAAGGGTTCAGACTGCAAACTGCTTTTTTAATAGTTTTATTTTTGGATAGTAATTAGAACTTATTGTTAGCAGTCTTATGAGCTGACGTGATTAAACTTCTTAACAACGTTACTTCTTAGAAAGCTCTCTCGACGGTTTGCCTATCTATATTTGATGTATTTGTATTATTAAAATTTTTCTAATACTGATGGCATGTTTTTAATTAGATATCGTGGATGGGCTATTTTCAGTTGGAAATATATTATTGATCTATACTTTGCAACATTGGCATAATAATAGTCCATAATTATACAAAAGCAACTCAAGCGTTCTACGTTGTGGAGATTATGCTGCGTCACAATTTGCGCATTTGCGGTCCAGTATATAAGACATAAATAATTTGTTTAAAGGATCAAATATCTAATGTTTATTAAAACGGAATTATCATTCCGAAAAATTAATTACTCAAAGAAATATGAAACGAGTTTATTTTTCTTACCTCAAAGAAATGAGAGCTGCTCGGTGATATATCAGCGCAGAGTGATGTCAGATTATTCACACTTTGTGTTTTAGTAACATCGTTCTAGAAAAAAAGAATTGCATATAATAGAAATAAATTCGCAATAAATTTTAGTCATCATTATAAATATTTACTTGAACTAAAAATTACAATTGTTTACACGTAATTGTTTTAATGACTCACTGATAATTGTTTATAATTATTTTGGAGTCATATCTCTAAACGTTTTAAAAATAATTAAATAAAGAAAAAATAATGAAAAAAATCATTTACAAAGATTGATCACAAAAATCAAGTATTTGTTTGTAATTTATTGTTGAGCCCACTTAAAACCCACTTATTGCTATATTTTTAAATTAAATACTGCATTACAGTACCGAGAATATAGTATTTTTTGAATGTGCATGATGTGTTATTGAATTGATGTTCAAATTCTTTCTGAGAATAAATATATTAACCTAAAAAACTGTGGTAATCGATAAACTCATATAAAAATTTCATTGCAAAAATGATGGTGACTGATAATGAGAAAAATAATTATAATTAAAAAATTAAATTAACAAGATTTACTTTGATTACAAAATATTCTGTAAAATACAAACAAAATACCAAAAGTTGTAGTATATTTAATATTCCATAACTAGATTGATAAAAATATAAGTACTAATTATAAGTATTTTAATAATAAAAAAAAGCAAATTTATTTAAAATTTTCATGAGCTTTAAATATGCTATAAAATTTTATAATTTCTTTAGCAAGTTTTATTTCTTATTAGTGAGTTACCTCCTTAGTAGCTTCATTTAATCCTGAATTACAACTAACAGAAGATGGCATCCTACGAATTCTGCCAGTAGACATACTGTTTAAAGTTAATTCAGTTTTTCCATTTCTCATCTGGTTCAACTTTCCGTGACTACCACCAATAATGCCATTCATTCCTGAAAATCAAGGAAAACATAGTAGTAATACATAATATAAATTAGGTAAATAATATTAGGCAATACTTGAGGTGTTTTCCAGTGAATTTAGACTTTATGGAAAATTTACTTATTGAGTGAAATTAACTTATAGTAGGTGCTTGCTTATAGTAGGTTTTTCCAGTTCAGAAAAATAGGTATGTGAATTGAATAGATAACATTAGGTAATAATAATCAAGTACAATTCCTTAACTACATGAGACGCTCTCCAGTAAATTTAGTTTTTATGGAAAATCTGCTACTTGAGTAAATTTAAAGTATAGTAGGTATTTGTAAGACTAAATTCATTATTCCAATTCAAGAAAAAAAAGTTCCGGCGACACATTTAATGTTAGACTAGAAGTTCAAGTTAATAAAATAAAGAAAGGAAAAACACCCATATTTCAATTTTAATTTAAACACTTTCAACTCGGATAACACCGCTCCGGGGCCAAAATACATATTAATCTCGCAATTCGGGAGAGGAAAGGGTTAAATTTATATCCTAAAATCATATCTCCATAATAAGAAATTTTCATATCAACTACTTATGTATCTACACAATAAACAGTCAAATCACTTTAAAACGATTTTCAAATGGCGTATTATGCGGAATAAAGGCAATATGTTCGAGTTCGATTATGCAATAATAGAATGTGCAATATGTAGTAGTCTCTTAAAATCAAGGACTAAAAATAAAGTTTTCAAAGAAGAACGAATATGAAAATGTAGGTAATAAATATGTCAAAATACAATCAAATTAGATTGTATCAAAATACAATCTATTAGTATATGTGTAATATAAATCTACATTTAAATATTATTTACTACATCATTCTATATTAAGTTAAGAGTTTAAATAAAATTGATAATTTGATTTAAGGTAATTTAAATTTATTGACAAGAGCCTAAAATAATATCCATTATTATTGATTACGGCTTGCTTATGAATGAATAAATAAATAAATAAATAAATAAATAAATTAATTAATTAATTAAATTTTAAAGTCGAACATTCAATATGTAGTAGTTAATTTAAAATTATGGTAAAAATAAAGGTTGCATAGAAGAATGAACATAAAAATGTAACAAATACTATAACAAATCACGTAAAACATTAAGAATGAAATTTCGTATAAAAGTTCAATTTTGATTTCCATATGAATAATTATAAAATCAAATTCATTCCTAATACTTTTTTATTTTCAAATAGGTGGTTTCAATAACCATATAATTTTCACTATGAGTACAATTACAATATAACTATGCTTAAGTTATAATGTTTTGTAAAATATGGAATTTTCTTTAATATAAAGTTATTAGCATTAAAATAACATTACACTCTCACAAGTGTTCTTCAGATCTTAAGAGCAACGGCAGGACAAAACCAATTTGTCTAAAGTTAGACAACCAATTTCAAAATAAATCATATTATATTTTTCTTTTAAACTTTTAGTGAACCCAATAGTATTATATTATAGTATATAAAATATCAGCAGGTATTTGAATTATGAAAATAGCTAAAACTTAACGACTGTAGTACATAAAATCTAACTGTGAAATTACCTGACTGAGGCGTAAGTTCGCACGGAGTGGTGGCCATGTGCTGCGGTATGCTGCCGAGGGAACCGGCCGAGTTCGCGGTCCTCTTACTTTCCCGCATTTGGTTTATTAAATCGCTTACCTGTAATAAATAATAAATTTAATTAATAAATACATCAAATTGCAAATATTTAACATAGATTTTTTTATGTATTCGAGAAATATTTAAGCCATTTTTTCTATTATACTAAAAGATTATATTTTTTTTTACATTTGAATGCAATAACACAAGTGCTTTTTTTTTCTTCAAAGATATAAACAGTGCTGGATTTACAGTAGGGGCAATCGGGGCTACTGCCCAGGGCGGCAAATTTCGGGGGGCGGCAAAATTTGGATAGTGAGAAAAAAATTCTATACAATATAATCAACTTTTTTCTAACAACATTTTTTATTTCAAAATTATATATTATTAGTTAATTATATATTAACAAAATATAATACGATTGCAATGCAAAATTTGAATTTATTTATTCATCACTAATTTATTATTTTGCATTGCCTCCCTCTCCGAACGTAAATTTTCAAATTGGTTAATAAGTTATCAAATTTGGCAATTTGGCTAATATAAAGATCCGTAAACTAGCTGAAAGTTTAAGAAAAATATGTACTTCAGTTCTCGAGCCCTCTTAAAATGACGAATTTGTGCACTTCCAAGCTTATAGCGACGAAAGAAAATTTAAACTAGTGACTCATGGCATTGTGCCTTAAGACAAATTACTGAAACATCCCATACTGAAAATTACATTTTATAAAGAGCTTTAAATTTTTTTGAGAAATGAAAATAAGACTTTTAAAACACATTTTTTGTATTTTGAAATTATTCGAAAATATGAACTTTTTCCAGAGAAATCGCGCTGCGTAGCTGTTTCAGAGAAAAAATATCGAAACTCAATTACCATTTTTCGTAATTGCCTGTACCAAAAGCTAATCAGCACGTCTCTCCATCAATACAAATCTTATATTTTTTAATTATTTATTTTGAGAACACGGATCAACCGATTTAAATGATTCAATTCCTATTGATAAGGAGACGTGCTGACTAGTTATTGGCCAAGGCAGGTCCAACTGTTATGAAGATACGGGCCAAAATGCCAAAATTGATAACTCAGTTTTTGAGAAAAAAAGCGTCAAAAATCATTCAATCATTCAAAAAAATTCACAGGATAAATAACTGCTTAAATTTGTGGGGAGCAGGTTTAGCGGTTTCGATGATTCAATAAAAAAATTTGAAAAAGAAACAATTGGCGAACAAAAGTGATCATAAGATATATGCACATTGAATTATCAGATATTTTAAAGATATAATAATAAGTATAATTTTTGTTTACAAAGTTCGTAAAATTTCAGGGATGGGGCGGCATTTTTGTCAGTGCCCCGGGGCGCCAAATTTCTAAATCCGGCCCTGGATATAAAAATTGATTGTGGGTCTCTAAAATTTTATAAATTTTTTAAATGTGTCAATATTTATGTTTAGAAAAAATCCTATCATACTTCAATTTTTCAAATTCAAAAAACACAAGATAAATGGTTATACAGGTAACCCCCGTATAACACGGTAGTTACGTTCCAAAAAACTAGCGTGTTATGCAAATCCGTGTTATACGGGACAAAGAATTAGTACAAAAGGAAGGGTTACGTTCCACGAATTAAAAAAAACATGCCACGTATGATGATTTTATAATAAATATTTTTATATTTATCAATTTATTTTAAGAAATAATATACATTACATGAATTATATGATTTTTTTCGTCGTAACTAACAAATAAGCGCCATCCAAAGGCGATCCTTTATTTTTGCTAGATATTATTTTAGATTAGATAAAATTTAATTTTTATAGATTTTACTATATTTCTTGTTTTATTTGGGCTTTGCTCAATTCTCAAACCGTGTTATACCAGACCCGTGCTTTAAAAGTATCATGTTATGAGGGAGATCAATTCTTAAACCGTCTTAGGGCAAATCCGTGTTATAGAAGTACCGTGTTATGCGGAGGTTGCCTGTACTGTATAACTCAAATGTTGAATTACTGTATGAGTTCATATTAATATTATTAATTTGATGATAAATATAAGCAAACTATAAGAACTTTTTATTTCTAACCATATTTTAAAATAAAAATTTTCTTTAGTTTCACTGAATGAAGCCGAAACGTATAAAGTTTATAATAACTTCATGTTTTTCATCATACACATAAACATTTATGCTTTCTGTCTAATTCTGATAAATTTTATATTATTCTAATTCTGATAAGTTTTAAATTAGGTTTATTCTGAACAACTTGCTGTAATTTTTCTTGTAGAAAAAATAAAATTGATAAGTAGAGCTGCCCAAACAACATTTTTCTCTTTTTTCAGTAATTTTTAAGAAACCTTTCGTACAGAGTGAATATTTTTTTTGTATTATATTTTTGACAAAAACTATTTTTTACTTTATTATATTAAAATACAATTCAATGTAATATCTGCAATATAGGGCGTAATCATATTAACGAGTAATTAAGTCAGTTCTTTTAAACTAAATAAAAAATTTGATTTGAATATTAATTTATTTTACCTATTTTTTAAGAACTTGAACTTTTTAATTCAAAGATAATACGCGGGTGTTGTTGCAGATGATTACTGAGAAAAGCACAAGAATAATACATTGTAATTAATAATTAGCAAAAATCATTTTCCATAAAAATAAATTATGAATTGAATGGTATAATTTTTCATACGGTAATGAAAGTCTCACATAGTTTCTTAATTTTTAAACGTACCAAGAGTTCATGAACGTCTATGAAAATTATTATCTACTATTTTTTTTAAAAAAGTTGATTACGAAAAAACTTTACTCAATGTATTATCCAAAATAATAATTTTAGGAAAGCTGTTTAATTTTCTTAATAAATTCGAGTTTTAATAAGAGCGAATTTTCTCTTTCAACTATATTCAAATATATAAAGTTTCAGATTTGCAAATGAACTGAAATCTAAAGAATACATCAAATTGAAAAACCGGAACAAAACATGTCTTTTTTAAATCTGTAATAACTTTTGAAATAAATTTCTATCGAGACTACTTCTTCAGTCAATAATGTATGCTAACAAGTGTACTACAATAAAAGAATATTTCTCATTATGGTACATTTAGTACAGAATACACAAAACATAACACGCTCCTTCATATATGCATGAACATGTCTTTAATTTATGGAATAAGGTCAAAACTTTAATAAAGCCAAACTAATGAAATTTTTTCAGGACAAGACGTCATGGATAGAGCACTTTTCAACTCTGATGGTCAAAACAAACTCCATCATGGATGTTAAAAAAAAGCTGTTTTCGCTTTTAATATTTAACAAGTTAATTAATGGAAACTGCCCGAATGCCGTAACAATGTTAAACGTGCAAGCTCCGGCATTGATAATAATTATAGATTATGTGTTAGATAGATAGATGGTATTTTATGATAGTAGGTGTTTATTTGCATTTTGTACGAGTACGAATGCTAGGTTCATTTAGATATCATTTTTTTTCTTGAATAGGTCAATGTTTGCCTTGTACGAAATATTATTTGGATAATCCAAACGCTATTCGAAGTTATAAAGATAAATTAACTTGATGAATTTTTATATGAAATACTAACGAAAATATTTTTATAATAAATAAAGTTCTGTTATTAAGTCGTAAAACTTCTCAGTTTTGATGAATTTGACACATTTTTACTATATATGTTTTACAAGTTATTAATTAATATTTTGAGAATATAAAAAAAAATGGAAATTATCATAAAGTTTTATTTCTAGAAGGTTATGCCAATTTTTGAATATAATTTTTGGATGAGCGTAGGTCATACTGAAGAAAATCTATAAAGAAAACTCCGTGAAACTTTCAAGTAAATCGGTCCAGTAGAAATTGAGAAATCGTGGGTATCGTATGAAACATGACAGTTTCGAAAAAAAACGTGGTTAAATTCTCTCGAAGGACGAAATTAGAGGAGAATTATCTATATCACTAAAAATAATTTAGGTTTGAAAAATCCGTTTGTACACATATTCTTGAATTGTTAGAGTTTGAAAAATAAAAAAACAAACTTAATCATTTTTTTTTTAATTCTAAACCAGAATTACTCCATAAATTGCGCAGCGATATGAAGAATAATTAAACTAGTGGTGCATGACATCGTGCTTTAAGAAAAATTGCTGGAACTTTCCGTATCGAAATCTAAATCTTTAGAAAATACTTTGAAAATTTTTCAAAACTTTGAAAAAAATCGAGTTTTGAGAAATTTGGATTTTTTTTTAAATATTTGATTTTTTTTGAAAATTTTGAACATTTTTTTAAGCAATAGTGCTGCTTTTGCCAAAAACCAGCACGTCTCTTTATCAGTAGGAATCGCATGTTTTTTGAATTATTCAAATCGGTTGATCCGTGTTCGCGAAATCGTCAACGAAAATTTGTATCCGCACACACACATACATCCATTTCTTATACCAAAATGTTCAGAAACCTCTAAAACGTCAAGTCAAGATAAATAAAAAATTTCATTTTCGATTTTTTTGCGATTGCTATAACCTACCCTACGGGAAGTTAATAATAAATTGTAAATTATTCCATTTGAGGTTATATATCTTAAACAATCTCCAGCAAAAATTGCGAAAGCGTAGATGCATATCAAATCATAAAAAGTCAAAATTACTTTAAAGAACAAGTCATATTTGATACTTTCATATCAAATCATTAAAGGTAAAAATTACTTAAGACAACAAATTACTTAAGTATAAGTCTTCAGCCACAACCGGATAGGACAATTATTGATTTGTCTACCAAAAAACAAAGCCATACACTATATGTCAACTATCATGTAATTATGTTTCAAAATAACATAATCGTATTAACGGAAAATAATCATAAATGAGGAAAAATCTAATTCTTGATTTAATTTATTAAGTAGCTTTTGGTCGGTGCTTATAGATATTGAAAGCAAAACTAGGAGAAAAAAATACACAAAGGCAAAGAAATGACTCTACTGAGCACAATCCTGAGAAGAAAAGGAAACTGGATCGAGCCCGTTCTGCAAAAAAAAGTGCCTCCTGCAT